CAGCTAGAGTCTGGAACCAGCTGCCAAGTGAGGTGGTGCAGGCTCCCACCCTGGGGGTTTTTAAGAGGAGGTTGGATGACCACCTTACTGGGGTCATTTGACCCCAGTGCTCTTCCTGCCATGGCAGGGGGTCAGACTAGATGATCTGCTCAGGTCCCTTCCGACCCTAGAAACTATGAAACTATTGTCTCTAGCCCCAGCTTTCCAATCTAACAAGAGCCTTTTGAATTTAAAATGTTTGTGATCTTCCCAGTTTCAGATCATCTTCATTATGCCTAGGAAGCTCTATTCTGGCATCCAGATCATTAATAAATGTTAAGTAGTATGACCCAGTGTAGTCCTCTGTGGAACCCCACTCAAAACTTGAGTGCAGACCTACGTCATCTGGCCAATCGGGCTGATATTTGGCAATGACTACTTTAGATCTGGGCCCATAGGTCCAGAAAATTGGCGGCAGGATAAGTGGCAGCAATTCAGCACTGCCAATTTTCCAGACCTGTGGGGAGCTCCATAGGCTCTGCGGGCTGTATCTGGGTTGCCCCTGATGGAGCCTGTATTTCTCCAGCTAACTTATGAGAAAGTCATATGCATCTTTATCAAAAGCCTTCAAAAATGCAGAAGTTACAGAACTGACATCATTGCTAAAAGGGAATCTTGTCATGAAGGAAGGGTATTGAAAATGTTTTGCATAACTCTAATTGCCATTAACTGTAGAGCAATTAAACTCTGAAAGGCAGCTATGTGAAAATGGCACCTTCTCCCACTAGATCATACTCTTGTATCCGCTCTGTTTAGTGATTAAAGGTTTCCTCCTGTCATAGCAACAGAATCTCAGATGCCACCAAAGTTGTTAAACTGGAACTGCTGGGCCAGATTCTACTCAGTTATACCAAGGGCAGCATTTGCCATTCAAAATGCTTTACTGAAGATATTACCTGCTGACTGTTGACTTTCAGATCTCAAGGTCACTTTGCAAGGCCAAATGGCTTTTCCAAGTTAGTTGCATTTAAAGTTTACTGCCTGTTAAAAGTGTCTGCTATTCTGTATGCTTTGATATTTTTAAAAACATTTGGCTTTATAAAAGTGCTACTTCAAAGAAATTCACTCAATCTAATAAGATCAGTACATGAACAGAGCTGCATATATTTTTGCAGCACCAGGCCCCTTAAGGCTCAAATATAGACAGACATATGCAGTGGCGATACATAAGGGGTGCATGTGCTCCCTGCTTCGGCAGGGAGGCAGGTGGGAACACAAGATTGGCCACAGGGGCATCCCCCCCAGTCGCTGAGGGGGCACATGCCCCCTCCCGACTAAGGTGGCACCAGTTGCCCATGGACATATGATACTAAGGTAAAAGTCAAGGAAGAACTTAAGACCTATCAGCTGATTTGTGGCAACAGTTGTGTGTGCCCGATTCTAACCTGCAGCAAGTGGAAGATAAACTTGAAATTAACTGCTGAATGAAACTGCTACTTTCCCAGTTGAGCTTGCTTTTACTACAGGATAAACTGGATGCGCTGATTACTACAGATCAAATGACACATTGAAAGTCCCCCTGCCCCCCCCACCTTTAACTCTGGATAAATTGTTTCTTCTATCCATGCCCACAGAGTACTTGTTCATGGAGAATCCAGCCTATTTTGGGACAAATTATTTGAATATTTCGTATCAACAGCAAATGCTGTTATGCCTTGAGATAAAAATGGTGAAGAACAGTGCAATGGGCTTGCACTATAAAAACATTCAGAGTATGAGTCTATATGACACAATGCAGCACTTTGTGGAGATGCCTGAACTCACTCCCATCCTGGAAGTAGTGGAGTGGTCCCGCCTAGTTAAACTAGCCTAGCTAATATGAGACCTAGCGCAAGGCTGATCCAGAGGTTGGACATGGAGCCAATCCACAGGCCAGATCAGGCCTGCTGCCCAGCAGCCCTGTGCACTGGATCCAGTGCCTGGAGTTGAATTAGCTCTGCATTGTTCTGTGCACACCAGCACTAGGCCTGCATGTTACATAGAGTGTGGGTAAGGGCCAAGCTTGTATCCCATGTGCAGTACATGGCACCAGGCTGGCACATGCCATGTGCAATATGTAGATCTGGTCCAACACCTACCGGTGATACAGCAGGCTGGATGGAAGTTCTGTGGGCCAGATCTTTGACACCGCACTGCTCTACGGCAGGAACAACACAAGTATACTTCTCCCGGCCCTCAACCTAAAGTTGGTATCAAATGCCATCTATACCTAGCCTTGCTGAAGGCAAGGGCAGGGCACTCTACCCTCACTAAGGTGATTTTACAAGTTCAAGGTTCACTAATTTGACAATTAAAACAGCCTGGTTTGAGTGATTATGAAAACTGAACAAGCTTTAATGCTTGTTCTGTGCTGCTGTTTGCTAGCAGGTGGGTGGGAGAGAGAGGAAAGTGAGGCTCAGTTCTCTTTCCTGGCTGCACAGAGTGGAAAGCCGTCTTCCCGCACATCTCTTGTAGCTGCCAGTAAGTCTGAATTCCAACTTTCCTCCACTTCACAGGAGTTCTGGTGAAATAAGACTCTTGACTCTGGGGATGGTCTGCTAACAGTTACCAACCTAAGCAAAACTGCACATGCTGTTCCTTATAATGGAAAGAAAAGCAGCTTATGAACCAGGTCTGCAAACATATGCAACTATTTACAAGCATTAACTGCAGCAATGCATTTCTTCCCTTTGGTCCTTCAAACATAAGATGCTTTAGCTTGTAGCTCTAATTTGAAGTTGCTTGTTTCTGCTTTAGCCTCTGATCCAATTTCATATTCATTGCTCTAGTTGGCCTTTGTAACATGCTCACTTTTCTTTATTGAAATAAGGCGTCACTTTCTTCTTTCCCGTATGGCTTGACACTATTTCCATTCAGCAGCTGACTAAGCAACCACAGCCTAAACCTTTGATATAAGATCTGGCTTCTCATTGTAGTTGGTACCAAGACTTCCTTCTCCCGAAACGTGAGAGGTATCCCCAGGCTGTAGCTTAGATACTGCCTTTTATAACCAGCTGGGTCTTTTCAACTTGCATACTTCATCGTCCTGCTCAAAAGGATTATATTCTTTAAATCCAACCCCTCCGCACAAAAAAAAGCTCCAAAACAAACAAAAAACCCCAGACTTAACATCTATTTAGAAGGAAAACAATGAAACACAAGACGACCTAGAGCCGCATTGCTACCTCTGTGGCTTTCCTGGTTTAAACCTTAAAAAAACTGGGTAACAATCACCAATTTACTCTTTCTATGCTAGTACACTTTCAAGTGTCCTACCACTGCTTGCATTCATTGTATAAAAAAAAGCACGTTACCAAAAAGGGTCCAGTTATCATTAAGTCGTTACCACTGCTTACAGTGGTGGCACCAACAGCATCTCCACCCTGGAGTCTAACTCCACCAAGTGTCCATCTCACCTGTTTTACATGAACAACCCAAGACTGCTTTAAACCATTATGGTTTCCTTCACAAATCACAAGTCAGCAACGCAATAGGAATGAAGAACTAATACCACAATATTCATCAGTAATTAAGAATTTGTTGGATACACAAATTTGTGGTTATTTTTCTTTGAAAACGAGTGGGTCGATAAAAAGGCCTTTCTAACCTCTTTTAATCTTCTGAAAGTTACCTAGTACTCAAGTTAAAAAAATAATGGCAGTTCAATCTAACTCGAAGTAAAATGTGAAGCCCTTTTGTGAGATGTTAGCACATGTCCAAAGAGGGAAAACAAGGATAAAAACTTTGAAGTTACCATGGTATTTTATTTACAGGTCACACAATACATCTTATATTACAAATGGCTTAAAGAAACAAACAGAAAAAGTAAGCTGAAGTAACAGTTTTGGTATTTTGAATTAGATTTTCTTGCACTAAAATAACTTCTGCAATAAAGGGTACTTAACTCGGTTAAGCACAAATTAGTTTATGTCGGGCTATATTCATTTCATTTGTAAATAGTAAACCAAGTTTTGATCTGAATAGGTTTCCTGGAATTTTTTTTTCATGGTACATTTCATGAGTATGGAGAACAAATCAATGCTTCCTTTTTGTGGGGGAAATAAAAGAAGTATTATCAAATATTTCCCCATCTACATAAATTCATTCTGGGCCATTTCATCCTTAAATATAAAACAACTCATCAAAAGTGTGACTAAAGTTTTTTTTTTCCTCTATTGGAAATGAAACTTAGGGCCAGATCTTGTACTTCGGGATATGATACAATTTTCCCTCGATAAAAACCACAGGAAAGACCCTAGTTATCTAGGCTAGTTAATGTTTAAAAAAATACTTTTTTACTGAGCCTTTACAAATCTAAGTGATCCGTGTATAACATCTTCCTCAAAACTGGTACCAACTCCCGCTGCAAACACAACAAGAAAAGCAATTTCAAAGCATCGAGGTTACATTAAGACTCCTTCCATTCCTGTTTAATTAGGCATCGTATGCCTATTACGATGAGAGGAAATCGTAATTAAACATGAAACAATGATTTAAGGAACGAGTACAGAAGTTGTTTTTTAAAATCTATAATTAATCTTTCCAGCAATTATATTTGCACTCAAAACAAGTATCCCATTACATTTAATTCTCTTTTTTCCTAGGATCATGAATTTGGTTAATGTATCTTTTCCTGGGGTCAAAGCCATGTACTGCAGATGTTTTCAGTCACTGTCATATTAGCACCATGATGTTTAATTATTTTCTTCTCTTGTAACATTAACAAGAAAATTAATGAACTATTAAATCTTCGGTACGTCCAAGGCCAAAATACTTTACTATTTTCTTCTGCATTGTAGAGCACTTACTTTTTGATGTCGGCTCCAATTCTTTCTAGTGCATCTTAGGTGCAGCATAGATGGTGTCAGCCACAGGGAAAAGGGAGCAAAGGTAATAAAGCCACCTTTGTGTTGCCCATATTTTGAATGAATTGGGGGCTAGAATGGTTCCTGGAAGTTTAGCTGACCAGCCCCAGGGGTGACTCTTTTTTCCGCAGCCTGAGAACTGCCCAACAAGCTATTTCTCTGCCTGAAATCAGTGTGCACTAAGGAGACACTTCCTTCCATGCATTAAGTTTACTTGGAATGAGAGTAGTATAGGGCTGATTACACTTTGCACCACAGAACTCCTCTCAGCTCCTCACGATACACTTAGGGTGTTTGCACGCTGGCTAAGTGCCATATATAGGATGGAAGAGGGGGATCTCTCATCTTGATTTGATGTATGAGCATAATTCAGCCCCGCCTCCAGATAACCTGTGCTGTAGGCTGCATGCTTTCCAACGTTAGGCCAATATTCTGTAAACTAAATCAGTAGAAAACCGTACGATGCACCCTCCAGCAACAACGTGTGAAGGAACTCACAGTTCTCAACAGGCCTGTTTCTGATCCATTTGGAAGTCAGCTTTTTAATCTTTTGTATTTATACATATTCAGTTAAGACTGACTTTTTTTTTTTTAATAAGTTAGTGATCTGTTAAATATTTTCAAGACTAAAATTAGTCAAGTGATTTCATATTAACATTCATTAAACATGCCAAAGTTTCAATGCAATTGTCACAATATTTCAGTCCTTACACTGCGGCACCACTATGTATGTACACAAAGGAGATAAGTGAAAGGAACATGTTGCTGGCTTAAATTTCCCTCCAAGTAGGAAGTGGCAAAGAGGATCTATGATCACTTCTTTAGATTTTGTTGTTAGAGCATTTGTTCTTGTAATCTATTTTTTATTCTGACTTACCTGTTTTTTTTAAATGAAGTATCACCAGCATTTACTTTTTGGAAGTGTAGCAGCTTGGCATTTAATCATGCATTTCCATCCCTGACAGTTGTCCAAGGGATTTGAAAGTGTTTTGCCTGACTTTATTAAAAATCATGGATTTTGTTTCTATCTGAGAATGGTGGGATTTTTTTGTTTAACGAGTAAGTTGTAGCTGACACTGTCCTGTCTTAAGACACTAATAAAACTATTTTCTCTTGATTTTACAGGGGAAATGACAAAACTAAGATGTGCGTACAAGAAAAACTGTCCAAACAGAGTGTCATTATATAAAGTGTTTAATTTTTGAACACAGGCTACTCAGGTCACAAATATTTCTTTTCAGCTTAGGCAGCAGAATTCTCCAGTGAGGGCAACTTAGATAACTGGCAGATTTACAGGGATATCTTAAGCAACCGGACTCACCATTTTTCCTATGCAGATGCTCAATTGCTACCTAGTTAGGTAAGCTTTTTCCCCCCCGCACACTACAATGCAGTAATTAGGCATAAATTAGAATCAGAGTATTAAATAAGACAACTTTGGCTTCTATTTTTGAAAATCCAAAAAGTCACTGACAAGACTACATTTGCAATAGCCTAAGTAGAAATTTTACTTTTTAAAAAGTAATAATTAAACACGCAGTTACATAATGTACTGACTTATCAACTGGATAATCAGTTGGAAAATTGTTTCCAATATGGGCTTTTAAACATTCATAAGTACATGCAAAATAGTCGTACCTTTCTCTCTGCAGAAGAGAGAGCGCTGTTCTCAGAGAAAAAACATGCTGGAATCTCTAATATGAGAACTGGAGCAGTGGTTTCTGGTAGCAATTTCAGCTACAGTCACTATCCGCTGTTCAAAGAGATCCAACTCAAGTATTAAAATGATCAAAGGAACAGCCGAATATAAAAAGGGGTTAGTTGGCACCATCACAATTTACAGAGAACATGACCCAATATAAAAAATTTGCTGCTGTATTAAATACTGGTCATTTACATTTGGTTACTTTCTGTAATGCTTCTAAATATGTGGTAAGAGAAGACAGTGTCAGCTTTTCACACAGAATTAATTAATTGCTGCTGTTGACATTTAAAAAGAAAAATTAATATTTCTGTCTTAAAAAAAAAAAATCTAACACCCAACAGGCCAATATAATACAGAGCCGAAATGGCAGGACAACTGGAATATTTAATATGCCTCTTGGGAAAGAGTGAGGTGACGGAAATCATTTTTCCCCTCACATTAGTGGTCAATGTGGGGACTTAATAAAATCAACATGGGGACTTATTTCAACAAGAGAAAACCAGGTAGCTACTAAGTGGTTGGTTCATCTGACGTAAATGACAAATGATATTTAAAATTATGGTCTACTGAAGTCTCCTATAACCATCGATATTTTTATGCAGTGTAACTATTTTTATTTAGCACTATTCTTTGTTTCAAACCACAAAGTACTTTTAAGTAAACGGGTAAACGTACAGGGAATTTTTGCAGACCTTAAGCTTACATGTTAAGGCACTTACCATTCAAGTAAAATAGTTTTCGTATAAACGTGTGGGAGATGGGGAGGATTATTTTACTAGGACATCCACTTTTTGAAAGGAAAGAAAAATAACATTGACCAATATTTATAAAATGGTTGCATCAAGAGAAAGGTTGTGTTTTATTATCTGAAATGAGCACAAAGTACACCTTCCACAATAACACTGAAAGCAGTGCAAAGACTGACAGTGACCTTTGACTAAAGGTAGTTCTGTAAAAAGAAAAATACCAAATAAATCAGTGCCCTGCTTTGATTGTTGTAAAATTTTTTTTTACATAAAAGTTGGTCCAAACTTACAAAAAAAGCACAAATGTGCATAGTTCAGAAGTTCTGAAAGAGTGCCATAAAAAGCTGATGTCCCTAAATTTAGCATCCACTTAAAACTGCCAAAATACAAAATAAAATTCAGAACTAGAATCTGTGACCATGTACAATCAATTTATCTAGTATTCAGACAGCATGAGTTTTAAGCATTTTTTTAAATTTTCCTACTGTATGCAAGACCCTTTTCCACATAAAAATAAAGCTGTTGAATTAACATTATTCAAGTCTGTTGGACTGCTGCTTTAAACGGCAGCTAGAAAAAAAAAGTCTTTCCAGATAAAAATGATGTGCCTGAGGAAAAACAGATACTCAATATGGTAATCCTCTGCCTCGTCCTCTGACCGTTGATGTGCTAATGTGTCCCCTGTATCCCTGGGAATACCCAGGTCCTTGGGCAGGAGAAGTCCAAGTTTGTCCATGCAGGTGACTAATGCCACTAGGGTTTTCCTGTAGATTACTTCCATAGCTATAGTTGTGCATCTTTGTGGGTAAAGAATGAGTACTCTCTGACCCTGTGGAAGTGTCACCACTGTTTCCCAGAACTGGGATAGGGCCATGGCTATATTCAAATCGATGGTCCTTATCAGCACTAAATAGCATGGGACCAGTGTTGAGGTAAATGTCTCCATAACCAGTTACTGAGCTGGAAAACGGTTCTGAAAAGGCAGAAGATGGAGGTGCAGCCCCAGAGTGAGATGAAGCAGTACTGTAGTTATCCAAAGACTGAATATCTGAGTTTCCAATGTAGCTCCTCCTTTCCAGTGCCCCAGACGATCCACTTCCTATTCCATCATTACTACTGTAATGGACAGAAGAGAAGGAAGATGAGCCAAAGTTATCCTTGTAGTCTGGACCTGGTACGTAGGAGTCTCTTGCCTGATAATCCACACTAGTTTTTACAGGCTCCTCCTCTGTTGTCTGAGCCTGGTGCTGAGCCAGCAGTTGTAGGAGAGCTGCTTTCACTCCTGCATGAGGATCTGTTCCTGAAGAATTACCAATAGGCAAAAGCTGGTTCTCTGTCCGATAGTCAAGGTCTTCATCAGTGAGAGGTGGTGGTTCTGGTGGCTCAGGAGGACGTTGGTCTGGGGGCAAGATGCGAGGGCGCTCTTGTTCTGGCGTGCGGTTTAGAAGCCTCATCTCAGGCTGTCTAACCACATCATCTTGACCTAAATTGATATGAAAGAAAGGAAGAGTCTTAGAAAGAATTCTGGATCTCCTAGTCAAAAAGCGCCAAGGCCAGAAGGGAAAGACCACTTGGCTAGAACACCTTACACTCTGCCACAGCACTTAAAAGGAAATAAAGTTGAAGCACAGTCAAATTTAAAAGCAACTGGGGCAAGGTGCTTTAGAAAAACAAAGACCTGGTTTACCTCACCACCCAATTTAAATCAGAAATGGCACACAACCCTTAAATGCTATTCCAAGAAGTGCAGAAGAGTGGACAGAAAACGTGAACCAAAGCCCTTTGAAAGATGGGTTCTGGGAAAGAAAAGGGCTTCTACCAAATGTAACAGGCAGATGTCATATCCTCTGTTGTTGCCATTGCAGGTCTATACCTTCCCTTTCCCTCCAAAAGAATCATAAAAAGAAGAAAAAAAAACAAAATGCACACAGGGTCAGACTATTAAATCAGGCCCTCTGCAATCTTACTTTTGTATTTGCAGCAGTTTTGTGCATGCAATAAAAATCTTAAGTCAGACTTTATTTCAGTGCAGTCTTTAAGCATTTTTAGTGAATTTGACTCAGGGTCTTTTCCTCGGCTATACGATTCTTCAGTGGGATTTTGTCAGGCCAATAAGCAGCTTAAGGTTTTTTTCAAAAGCTAGCAACTCATTTAGTAAAGAAAGGTTCTGTTAAAAAACTAAACCAGAAAACACAAGGGGTCAAATTATAATCAAAACAATACCGTGCCTTACAAAAGATTTGTGCAGCCATGCCAGCACCATTTACGAACTGAACCAAAACGAGGTAGTCACCTAATTCTATTTAACAAAACTTCTGACACACGTGAAGAAGCTATAGCTAAATATTTGAGGTGTGTGCAGTACTATGTCTGCAAACTGTCCCATTTTCACTTTGCAAACAGAATTTCCATAGATGCTGCTTGCTCAGTTAAAAACTTACTTGGGGTGGACCAGTTTTATTTCTGAAAACAAAAGTTTACCAAAAAAGTAAATGGGTGCATATACCCTATTAAACCTTTTGGAGGAATTATCTTTTGCTCTGTTTGAGGAGCATAAGCACAACAGGGCTGCAATTTTGACTGAGAAATCTAGGTGCTCCCAAAATAATGGTAATGAGAACACCAGAGTATCGGCACATCTGTCAGCAAAAAATTGTGGACACAATCAGCTTTCCAAGTGACAAATGGAAATGAAACCTCTTCGTTTCAGCTACTTCACTTTCAACCCCATCCCTTCTGCATATGTTCTGTGCTTTCTAAGTTGGTACAATTATGCATCCCCAGGAATGTAAAGCATGTTAACTCTTATCCCCCAAACTAATCACATTTCCTTCTACTACCTATCGGCATGTAAGACTGTCAGTACCTGCAGAGGAATACAGTGATTTGATCAGATGTGGGTAAGCAGGAACTGGAGAGTCCATCTCATCCCGGTTACCAGAGACAGGAGTGCTGGGCTCTGGAGGCTGCCTGAGTTGCAATGACATTTCATTTCCTGATCCATTCTCTTTGTCTTCCAGTATAAGATCTTTCTGTTTTGTTTGCTGAGCCTTTATTAACTGAGACAACAGAACAGCAAATGCACTCTGCACAGCCGCCTGGGTAGCATCAGTCTCAACTTTAGGCTGATTCAGCTGAGCAGGTGGTACAGGAGGCTGAGTGACTGCTGACTGTTTTAAAGACTCCTGGTCTGGTGGTGGTGGTGGCAGCTGATCAGACTGTTTTTCACCTGCTGCTAGAATTCCAGCAGGAAGGTTTAATTTATTTAGTTGCTGTTGAGTCTCTGGGTTTACTTTAATATTCAACGCTTGGGCAAATTGTGCCAAATTAACACTTGTTTTAGACTGTAGCAAATTTAGTAGGATTGCCACTTCGTTCTGGTTTAACTGCTGTCCAGTGCTTGTTTTCACTAAAAAGAAAAACAAACCAACAAGGTTAGAACTTATCTAGAATATCAGACTTTGGTGACTCCAGATTTAATCTACCAGGGCTGCTACAATTGGCAAAGTACGGTTCTCTGACAACACAGAAATGGAATGTTTTTACAAATTAATTGCATTTGGAGGAGCATTTATAGGAAATGGGATAGCATGATCCAATACTGAGAAAATGGCTTAAAGGGGTTGCATACGCGCACACACACACGCATGCACGCACACGAAAACGAACAGATGAAAACCATCAGGTTTGAGCTCAATTTTCCACAATACAATTAAGCTGGGGCTTAAGGCCACCTGTTCCAGGCAGCTGTAAGATTTCCAGTTCCTACAAAATTTCCTATCTTTGACATATTACATCCCTTTGTGAAAAACTGGCCATCTGCAAAACACATTTCCAGTCATATCCTCTCCCATCCAGATGCTGAATTTATATTTTGACACCTGCTAAAGTGACCAGGCTCTAATTGACCCAAAAGCTAATAGCATACAAACAAACGGAGAAAGGAAACAAGAGCTGAATGGATAAAGTTAGTCATGAACATGAGACTAGGACTAGCAGGCAAATAGTTTTGTGAACATAAACTGTCTTCCTTATTTTTTAATAAAAAATAGGGAGTTTATTTGTCACGAGTGAGAGGAAAGTGTGAAGAAGCAAGGAAGTCAGAACATGCAGATGCAGGGGGGTTATCAGTGAACACGTGCTTTTAAAACTTCAGAGTAATGTGTCACTAGCTGATGTTAGAGGCGGCAGGCACAGATTTGAATATCAGCAGCAAGGCAATGACTCAGAAGCTAGAAAAAAAGTTAAGTTAAAAGCGATACTGAATTTTGCGTTCTGAGACCTATGAATTTAAAAGAACCAGGACAAACCTAGAGTCTTCTCAAGCTGAAAATGTGCGGTATGGATGAAGCAGGATCCCTTTTTCATGGCTTACTGATTAAGTCACTCAAAAAAGACTTAAGCAGAAAAAAATGGCTCCATACTACACACAGGTACTAACACTGCAGCTGCTAACAGGGAATGCCACAAAATTCAATGCGTTCTGATTACAGCTCTGCCAGTTATGCAGACATAAAAAAGGCCTGGGATACAAACTGATTTAATTTAATTAAAAGACATTTGAACTTCTCATGAAGCAAACGGCTTAATATTTTCCTATTATAGACTTTTTTTATCTGTCAAGCCAACGTACAGCTCTCAAACATGATACTACAGGAATCTCAATGCTTTTCATGATACCCAACAATGTTTTGAGCAGTCAGAGTGTTTAGTTTGTTAGTAAGGGAAGTTAAAAGCTGGGGGCACAAAGAGGGCACAGTTGGGAGCGTAACATTGCAGAATTAAATCAACCTGATTGCTGACGTGCACTGTGGTGCTAGGAGTTGGAACGCAGTGAAAACAGGCAGTTCAGAAACAGTGACATTTTAATTGGCAACGCAACAAGCTACCTCCTCAGATTCTTTGCACATTCTCTTGATGTGTTAAATCAGCCGTGTAACAAATATCAGGTCTGTTACTGATTGATTACATGGGATTTGAATTATGGCTTAAGGACTAGGAAGAGATGATTTTCCCTGGAATCCAAATTTGAAATGTGCAGGAAATATTGACAATAGGCCGAGGAGGATAACTGCTGTATTAGTGTGCCTAGCCAAAATGTTTGTTTGAAGATTCCTCTGAAACAATCTGCATCCTGGGAAACTGTAGCAGTTTCTACTTAAATAATTTCAGTGAGTCCCACATAAATATGTTAAGCTAAGAAATACAATGATGGGTTCCTGTTAGAACCTAAACAGCAGCAATTAATCCAGGATAAATATTTTTTCTGCCCCAAATGAGAGATGTGAATGCTTGGTGCACAGTCACAAGTGCAGCCATTTAAATAGTGCATTCATGTCCAGGTCTTTAGCATGTCTCCCAGGCTGTTTTACATACTTCTGAAATGTTTGCTCATCAGCATTTTTCCACAGCTTAAGAGAAGAGCGTACATCAAAAATGTTCACCATTACACAGAAGTCTTTCTGCTCTGCTACATATTCTTGACCTTTTTGTATACTTATGTGTGTGCAAAGAGCAACACAGGACTGAATGATTAATTTTTGCATTAGTTAGTTAATTCATTTTATATGTGCCATTAATACTATATTAGTAATGATTAATGCAACTAGTACTCTGTTCAGTGGCCACCTGTTATAACAACATAAAGAAAATAACTACCGCCATTGGGACCCTTAAGTTTCTCTATAATATTTGACATTTTGTGGGAAAATTTTTCAGGGCTAAGCAAAGCAAAGTTTAAAAGTCTTGCCAAGATTTCCAGCTGAAGTAGAAGAAGTGGCAGAATCCCACAGCTGTTTTAGAGGGAAACAGGATGAACAGCAGCAAGTAGTAAAAAACTTCACCAGTCAAAAACTCAATTACTGCATCACTTCATAATGCACTTGAAGCCCCTGGCCTTCTGTTAAATTGAGAGTTGATTTGGGGCAACTGTCTATCCAGACAGAATATCCATTTATTGTCTTTCAATTCTTGGACTTCCCATTTCAATAACATTGTATACTAGCTTGGAGCATCAAAAGCTTGTTTTGAACCTTACATGCTTGTTTCTTTGTTAACTGTGCATTGGGCTTAGCTGCACTCTTTGTTATGATGTACTGTGTCTGTCCTTCAGCATGCACACTAAAAATGTATGTGGCCAAAAGCAGATGCCAGAGTACAAACACTTGCAGGAGACTAGTATTTTACCCTTCTGATTATTGTTTGCAAATCAGCATTTTCTTCTTGGTAGTTTACAAGCCACTGAGCAAGACACCTGAGGTTTGGTTTTCGCTTTCATGGCTGAAGGTCATGAAGACCACAGAAGTACTTCTCTAGTTTTTGCCACTGTATTAGGATTTCTCTCATTAGCTAGTATCCGAGTTCAACACTGTCAGATGGAAGAGACTTGCAAAAGCAGATATTTAAACAAGGGAAAAGATTAACACAGCCCAGGGAACAAAATAACTTTACTGAACTGAAAGCTATGTTTGTCCTGACATCCTCTCTCTTCACCTTGTCATTACCAATAACATCGATGCATCCTAGGAGAAGCTATATAATTGGGATTGGAGCAGCTAATGTGGATACCATAGGGAGCCCCCAACTGAACATAGATAAAAAAAAACACCCTCAAAGTATTAGTAGTTCAGATAGCTGAGTTCTGACACAAGGTTAAAAGCTAGTAATGCAAGTCATATTGGGAATGCCTCCTTACTGAGGACAAGGATGAATGTTTTGGCAATAATATTTTTGTCCCTTTTAACAAGCCAAAAATTCCTAGGAATTTGAAAATGTTAACATTAGTTTTTTTAAGTGCGTAATCAGCAAGGCCGAAGACAAGTAACACCATGAAAAAATGACAAATAAAAGATTACTGACCAAGTGCTACACTAGAGTTGCCCTGAGTTTTGAGTTGGGAAGAAGTTTGCATGCCTTGTGGGGTGTTGGTTCTGCTCTCATCCATGCCTAAAGACATATCCTTCCTAGGCATTTTAGCTGCTGTTGCATCGTCACTCATTCCCATCTGCTTCTGCCTTCTTCGTTTCTTACTCCACAGCTCATGGCAATCCTGCCATAAAGGAAGGCTGAAAAGAAGTGTAGTAACATTTAGTTTTCTCTATATATGAAAATTCATCACATTAGAATAAATACTCGATTTAGGATTAAAAAAATGAGTCTTTCTATTGGGAATCTGAAATATGTCTTAAGATCATAAATGCAAGCAAAACCTCAAAAATGTTCCCCATGGAAAATGCACTTGTCAACAGGCTTTATTTCATAATAAGCATTCTCCTAGGAAAAGAAATGGCAGTTAAAGCTACCTGCCTGGAACTGACAATTTTCTTTATAAAAAGGAAAGTCACCTTAGTACTCTAAGGTGGTTCCCAAGCTGTGGTCTGCAGTTGATACCGGCCTTTTCCACTCATACCCACCTACCCACCCCGTAAAAAGGAACACGGTGATCAGTGAGAAATCCTGATTCTTCACAACGGCCTGTTGGTCCAGAAAGCTTGGGAAACACTGCCCCAGTAACTTGCAACCCAATCAGCCACTTATCTTTGAATAGCTGTATTAAAATTATGAATTTTGCTGTTCAATCTGATGAAGAACAAGCCAGGTTGTTCTACAGTATCAGGACAGTGCATATGATATTTATGCAGTTGGTTGTTATGTACTGAGGTCTTCCCTTTAATAATGGCTGAAGCCCTGAGACAGGTCTCTCTTTTCCTCCTGCTGCTAATGCCAGACGCAAAAGGCAGCCAGTCTACGCTGTGCTCTACTGCAGACACTCGAGCATCTAGTCAAGAGGCACAAACAATTTTGAGTAAACTCAGTGCCTTTCTCCTTTCCTCTTCTGCTCTCAGGGCATAACTAGTTCATTTTTAGGAAGCTATTTTTTCAAGCTGGAAGGCTGAAAGCAACCAGCCATGGTATGGCACACAAACAGTACATGTTATAGTAGAAAATGCTTTAAACAAAAGAACTAAGGGTCTACCACCCTATCTCATTAAATTGCTTTCATTTAACTGCAAATCGAATGCAGTAAATAATTACCTGCATACAACTGATCATCTGTAGCAGCTCATAGAAGGACTTATCTATAGAAACAGGGATAAAATGATGGCAACCTTCACTTCTGGGGCGTCTAGTACAGCTGCTCAACATGCAGAAGACCGGAAATATTCCTGTTTAGCTAAGAACGTGTAGTCTTAAAACACATCTGGCTCCATCCTTGCTGACCTAACACTTCTAAAGAAATCAACCTATGCATGTATCAAAATAAGAATCAGGGGGCTGGGACAAGCTGCTAACTCCCCTTGTAAAGGTTTCACCCCTGCTGAGATCCATTACTGTTCAGCAGAAGCAGGCATAGCGCATGGAACAAGATACGTGGTATACTCAGTATTCTCTTGATGCATTTAGTGACAATGGACAGGAAGGCATACATCTACCCCTGCAAAACAAGTCATATTCAAAAACACATCTGCTCTCAATCTGGCAGCCAGGAAGGGAAGCCAGCAAGAGCCATTCCAACTGAGAGAACAAGGCAGAGCTTTGTTGGGGAGCTAGCTCAACCCTGACTTTATGCTTGCCACTCCTGCCTACAAAAGGACCCCTGCTCTTATCTACCAACAGGAGGGAGAGACAATGGCAAGTATGCACTTCTATGACTGACGGTTTGTTTTGTGTTTCCCACCATCTATAGAAACGTGAAGTAGAGCATTCACCTCAGCTCCAATTGAAGAAGAGTGCATGGTTCTTTGGAGTCAGAGGAAAGAAATGATAATTTCTGCTTTGTCGTCTTTTCCCCCACATTAGAACAAAGGCCTGCCAAATAGCTCTGCAGGCACCAGTTGGGAGGAAATTAGGGAACTCATCATTGAGAGCAGGCTGATCTGTCCTTCAGCAATACTCCCACTTTCTTTGAAGGAACAGCTGTTCCTTGCTAGGCTGACAGATATTGTGGGGAGAAGGCAGAAATAGCTTCCTCCTGCAGAAACATGTTTCAGGTGAGTAGGGTTCTTCACAGAAAGCAAGCCGCACGATTCTTAAGGGACATTTACTTAGTAAGAATTTGCCTAAATGTTTTGCCTACTCTTACAACACCCAAGATTGCTATAATAAAGACAGCTGGGAGACTAAATATTTTTTTTTTGTAGTTTTTACCTGGCCATGCACTTAATTGCATGTAGTCAGTTTCATTATTTTCTCTGTATGAATCTTGTTTAGGATGCAAGGGAGCAAAAAATACAGAGAAAAAATGGAAAATGCAATTCAAACAAAAAGAGTTAGCAAGGGGGCTCTGGCACAAGTGTTGCACTGGAAATTATCTACCACATTTTTAAACTAAGTTTAAGATGCCAATGTCTTTTTTTTAAATAAAGATTAGACACATTTTCATGCTACTACTGTCCTAAAGCATATAGACTGTTTTTTCAATTAAAAGGTACCTGCTAGTGCTGCCTCTGACCATATTCCCAGTCAGTGACACCCAGCTCCCACAAAAGGCTTCAGTAGAAGGTGTACCAAGCCAACTAGTAGCAACTGTCGTTAAGTAGGGATTCCCTCCGGGTTTCGTGATAAAAACACTTATTTTAAATGAAAAATGCTTATTTAAAAATGTGACACCACTAACTTCAGCTCTCTACATGATTGACAAGTGCAACTCACTCAAAAAACATTGGAATTAAGTGCTCAGTGTCTCCAGATAACTGTATCAGGAACACTATTGAACACAGATCCTGAAATATTTACCCTTTAATTCCCCTGCTCTTAGTATGTTGACTATTAATGACAACAAGACAGCCATCACAAAGCCCCAGTGAACAATGAATATTATTACATTATCATACATAGCTCTGTTTAAAAACAAAAAAACAACACACCACTACGTTTTATGGCTTCATGTTCCTACAACCACAGAACTGCACGATTAATTTGTGCAATATCATAAATCTTCTGCAGCCCACACAATTACAAGTATGCTTTTCCATGACTCTGGCAACTGTTACACCCCAGCAGAGAACATGTTGGAGCAGGATATAGACAGTAGGATCCAACAACCACTTGTGAGTTCAGATATTTCAACCCAGAAAGAACAAAGATGGATTTTATGTGACACACACAGGTCATTAACTCTGGGAAAGACATATGCCATGTTTAACAAACCAACTATACTAAAACCTGCTATGACTAGGGACCTAATGAATTCATGGCTGATGTGGGCTGCCCAGCAGCTCCTTTAATTTTGTAGGTCGCCCCATGCACCTTCCCCCCCCCCATTGCTGATTGGCCAAAGGGCCCCAGTGGCCCTGCTGCTTGTTATTGACCCGTTGCAAGGCAAAAACAGTGCCATATTTAAAACCATGGGTTTTGCCTCCCTGCCTACCAGGAATAAGCAGTGGGGCCTCTCTGCCAATTGGCGGTGAGGGGGAGGAATCTGAAAGATTAAAGGAGCTGCTGCGCAGCCCACTTCTGCCGTGAATTCGGTAGGTCGCTACGTCATGACAAAGGTGCCAGTTAACTGTGCAGTTCTCTTACTGCGAAAATTAGCAGAGACCACAAGTATTTGTATTTAAACTTATTATTTTCACCAATATGAATGACTCCATTTATTGAATAAGCACCACTATCACAGAAAGGGACTTACTCTGGTGGAGGCATTTTAGAAGGTTCCACATCTCGCAGAAACTCGCACTGAAGAGCCTGTTCAGCTGTGCAGCGCTTGCTGGGGTCCAGAGCAAGCATATAATCAAAAAGATCTAATGCAGCTGCTGGAATACTGAAAAAAAGAAAAAAATGGAGGGCACGTCACATTTGTATTTTTAGATGCCACATCTTTATGTTATAAAAAAATACTCTTTCAGTAGGTTTTAATAGTATGATTACTGGAGCTTTAAAATAAAACATTTTTTTAAATTACCCTTTTAACAAGGCTGCATACAATTACTGTACACTTCGGAATTTAGCAGATGAAGATTTTTGTCTTTTCTTAAAAAAAAAAAAAAAAAGAATAATTGGCCTGCAAATACTAACTGTACTGCTTTAAAGTTACACAAAGTAGACTCCATTAATACAAACAGGATGATACATTTTCCTAAACCCCAAAATAGTGGAAGGGGAAAAAAGATTCTAAACAGTCTTACAGATGTTTTCTGTAACTTTCATGTTCATTATTTGCACAAAACAACTCCAATGACACTATTCTAGGATACATGGCTCAGATAACGTACCTTATGTACTAAACTTATGGCTAAAAACTCTATAATGGTAACCATCCCATGTATTTAGATATAGATGGGTACTGCATTAAAAGGAGTCAAGTATTCTGAGCAGCTTTTAGTCCCAGGAACAAGCAGCAGGTGCGCCCAAGCCTGGAAAGCCACTATTTCTAATTTAAAAGCTGATTAGTGGCTGAAATATTAGGGTCAAGTCTCCCTTCTTGATGCATGCACGCAGCACCCATAACTAACACTGACAGAAGATCTTCATTCACATCGAGTGTCACGGGAAGGATGGGAACTTAAAGTCATTTTTCCCCACATTTGACGGAGCACCTAATGAAATCTCTGGGGAACAATGACATTCATTCAGGTGCCCAAAACACTTCATGCAATAGATCCTTACAAAGCAAACTCTTCTCTCAATTTTCGACGATACTGCTTCTTTGGTTTCATTGTATTGAAATAGGCTAACTTTATTACATCAGGCCAGACCGCAGGACAAGGGCTCCCACAAATTCGGCTGTACAAAAAACAAAAACAAAACAAAAACAACAGTTGTATGAGAACCAAAACAACAAAATGAAAGTGGCTCAAGTTTTATAAACACAAGCACTGTTAATACAAAGAAAACAAACTATAGTCTAGTTTTCAGGCTTGTTTAGCCAAAGCCTCTCCACAAAATGCTTGCAACCCACAATCATGAACAGCATTGTGAGTTGAGGAGCAAGGACAGGTACTCATTCTTAACAGGCCAAAGCAAATCCTACCTGAAAGTTCATGTTGCATCTCATGCTCTTCTAAATAGTGGTTCTTTATAGCCAATTATGGTATTTTTGAAAATAAAAGAATTAACTACACCTGGCTAGCATCACCAGTAACCCAACAGAAGGTCAGTGTCTCCTACAGATGGTAAGGTACCAAACATACAAGACAGAAATTTGGAAGAACCCCTCCTAGGTTTAGAAATCCAGCATGTTTAGTTCAATTTCTCTATACCTCTAAGCTCTGGTGTGAGCAGAAACTATGCCAAATGCTAGGAGCAAAAAGCTCTCTACTGCCAACTTAAAAAATTCAACTGTTAACAATGAAAGAATAAAATTGAATAGTAAGGCTCGAAGATGCTAACTGTTTTGTTTTCATCTGCAAGAAGACTGACTACAAGAGCCCTCCCCCCCCAACTTCCTTGCTTTATCTGACATGTTCTAATACCAGACTTTTAAATCCAAATTTAGACCAGGCCATTTATTGTAAAACAGGGTTTAAACTTTGTGGGCCCAGTAGCTGGAAACCTAATTTTTCATAAATTAATCTATCTTCCAGCTTTGCAGATATTTGGTTTCGGCTTCTACAGCAAATGTTTTTTTTCCCTTTATGTAAGCTATACTTGTGCAAATGAAGAACCTTCTGTTGTTTATGGCATTTTGAGGTCACTACAAGCTACAAATAAGTCCAAGGTTTGCCTTCATGCTTGCTTACATGTTCTATAGCATACTCTGAAAAAAAAAAAAAAAAAAAAAAAA